AAGAGCAAGCAGAGAGGAGTAAAAGCAGACCATGCAAATAGAAGCACAGCATGCAGAGAGGAGGCAGAGCAGAGCAAGCAAAGAGGAACAGAGCAAGCATAGAGGAGCAAGAGCAAAGGAGGCAGAACAGATCAAGCAGAGAGGAGCAGGTATTGTGGCCCGCTGCCTCTGCCACATCTAGGTTCTGAGAAAAGTGAATTAATTGCACTGATTACAGTGAGTGTGACAAAGGTTACTTACTCCTGATTGCAGACAGTGAGTGGTATGACAGTGGCACTTACTCCTGATTGCAGACAGTGAGTGGTATGACAGTGGCACTTACTCCTGATTGCAGACAGTGAGTGGTATGACAGTGGCACTTACTCCTGAGATTGCAGACAGTGTTGTGACAGTGTCACCTTACTTACCAGAGATTGCAAACAGTTTGCAGTGCGGCCCCACATAAGGTGTGAAACCTTACCTACCTGAGAGTGCAATTTGCAGAGGGACTGAGTGAGCGGAGCAGACACTCCAGACAGTGGCACTACTACTGTAAGTAACGTGAACTTTAAATGCAGCTTTTGAGTAAATGATATGCATGTACCCAGGATTCCATATTGTGAGCAAGAGAATGAAACAAGTAATTTTAGTTTGTGTTGGTATAGTATTCACCAACTATAGGTCAGGGCACAAACTTTAGTGCCAACCATTTTTAATTGTTCATGGAAGTGGAGCTAAATCTGCTCTTCTTACAGGAAAAATTCATTTGAATTAGCATTTCAAAATACAACTTTGTGTCACTTTAAAATGCTTAAACTGTAGCGTAGAGAATACACTGTTAAGTGATCATTTTCTATGTATGTGAAATATTTATATAGAAGTGTTAATTTAAATTCCCTTCAAATTGCATGTTGTAAATTATTTTTAAAAATAATGGGGTTTTTTTAAAACTAGTTTTGTAACAATTCTGGCATCATGAGATATTGTTACAATTGCAACTCTAAAGCAGACTTAAGCATATTTATCAAGGTGCTGGAAATCTGAATTTTGTTAACTTTTAAATGTTCTCCACGTGTGTGTGTGTGTGTGTGTACACACACACACACGTTTTGTAATTGCCCCCCTACTTCTGTCCCCGGCCCCCCATGTGCCCCCCCTAAATATGAATGCTGGAGACGCCACTGGTTACATGCCCTGACAACATATCCAAAAATCACCCAGATCGGTTCAGGGGTTCAGGAATTTCCTGGGAGTCATAGTTTTGACCGACCGAGCACATGGTCCTATGCCCAAAACAGTTCCAGGGAAATCAGTGCTAACAGTCAGTCAAGTTCGGTAGTCTTTTACAGGTTTCCCTGCAGGGCCCATAGTCTGTGAGCAGGAGGCTGGCAAGCATGACCCTCCAGTACAAGTGGCGAGGTTACTTTCGCCACACATAGCACCTGTCAATCCTCGTGTAGCAGTTATGGACATTAGTGAAAAATTTATATTCCCTGCCGTCGGGATGTATTGCTCTCCACTTGTCGTATAGATTATAAGAGTGAAATAATGTATCCATCTTTTTAGACTTGTTCGTCAAGTTCTTCGCCCTAGAGACAGTCATTGCCGATGATGTGTCTAGGTGTGGTTCTAGAGTACTGTTAAAGTCTCCACACAAGGGGCAGAGCTAAGCGACTGAACAGAATGGCCGACAATTTCCAGAGCTCCTGCAACACGGAACATAATCCATGGCAATCTGCGACCCCATAAAACCACCCTCAGGGGGAAACATCACCATAAGCATCCTGTGACGGACCGCTGGCACTCCGACTGAGTACCTCCGCCAATCGATGCTCCTAGTGCTCGCTGAGGACTCCAAGCACTTCAACCGACACTATCAGCACTGCAGACCTCACTTCCAGCGATGCAACTGCGCCGGGGTCTCTGCTGTCTCCACCCACCCTGGACCCAAGGCCAGGATCCAGCTTCCAGTGGGTGAACCTCTCTTTCCCCAGAGAGCAGGAACAGGAACAAGCTCTTAGCAGAACTTAGTGATCATACCCTGGGGAGTATAGTGATTATAGCAATCCCCAGAGTGTATTTCTCCAATCCCCCAAACATGAGCCAAGGCTTAATGCTGGAACAAGACTGATTTACTGGCACACAGAACTCACAATTTATGCAACACAAAACTCCTCCTCTGGGCCAGGCTAGATAATTGAGTTTCAACAATACACAAAGCTCAATTATCTGCTGGCCAGAAATAATACAGTTTATAAAACACATCACAGGGACCCCAAAACATGCAATAACCCCATAAGTATATCCTTGGAACCGGGGGATCTGGTTGAACCACATATCCAAAATTCACCCAGATCTGTTCAGTACTTTGGAAAATACAGTTTAATGCAGATTCTGCAGAACATATACAGGCTAAATGAAAAACAATCACTGTATAATGTGTCCCCTGCTGTATAGTCCAAAACCACTGCACGATGTCTCTGTGCACCAAATACTGGCGAGATGGCACCGTGTTGAAAAGTCCAAACAGTGTCTGTGAGTTAAAATGGCCGCCATCCATTGTTCTCACCATGTGCTTCTGATACAGGAAATGGTGGCCACCCAGTAACTCCACAGTATGTCCCCAGATGGTTCTTAAAGGGCCAGCAGCAGCACAACACAAATCCATTATGCCCAAATCATGTCTTTAAAGGGCAATACATCCCAGGGGCCATAGTCACAGGGCAAGAGGCGGGCAAGCAGTCCTCTCCAGGCACAAGTGGCGAAGGGCACTTCGTCACACATCCCTCAAGTGCAGTCCAACCACCGATGCCGTTTCTGTTCACCCGAACGGGCAGGAAAACCTGACGGAGAACTGAGGCCTACCTCAACTTCCAAAGCGGGTGGCCCGCATCGGAGTTATCATCCTGGACTACAGCTATATCAGGTACAACCCAGCATTAGCACAGACCCTCTCCCTGGGAGACCGAAAACTTGGGCAGGAGATCCCAAAAACCCCAACAGGGCACACACAAAGACACAACCAGGATATAAGTGCCCTACTACAATGCCCAGCAGCACCCAAAATGGCGGCCTCGCCGGACCGGGAACAGAGCCCATGCGCTCCAGACGGCATAGCAGAGGAACCCCACACACCCCGGCCTCGGCCACTAAACAGGATATAGCCGACCTACTGCAGGAGATGAGGCAGATGCATGCTGCGGACATAGACTTACTGCGCACTGAACTGTGCTGAGTAAGTGTGTTCTCGGAACTCTTACCCTTTTTCGCTTCTCTTAATACACATAGGAGGACATCCTGGACATGAGGCAAGAGATAATGGGTCTAAAAGAAACAGTTCAGCAGTTACTGTCATCCCACACTACCCTAACAACCAGGGTGGATCTGGCTGAAGAACGAACCAGGCGCACCAACCTTAAGCTAAGGGGCATCCCCGACTCCATCACTACGTCTGAGCTACCCCACTACCTACGCCGCCTCACTGACACTCTCCTCCCGCACAGCCAGGCGAAGAAACTTACACATCGACTGATTCTTTCGAATCAAAAAACCCAAGCAGGCGCCAGCCTCAGCCTCTCAAGACGTTATTGTAGAAAAGAATCCAGGCACTCCAAGGTATTCCAACAAATAGGCAATTTTATTGGACCCAAGCACCAAAAAACAATGTTTCGACCCCTTAGGGCTTTTGTCAATCTACTGAAACACATAACTTGTATACAATATATAGGTATATACAACAATTAACAAGTAAAAAAACATGTGAAATGTTACAATTAGTTAATTACATAATCATGAAAACAGTGTCAGAACATAATCATCTCTCCAATAAGAGTCTCACATATTAGGGGTGTCACACCATGCAATGGAACTCCATCAATCAAATAAAAAAGTTTATTAATTATTTAACTAGATACTAATTAAAAAAGATTTATTTCAATAAAATTAAACAATTTAGATCAATTGGAAACGCCAAAACACTTACATTTCCGGATCGGCTGTGTGAATCAAGTCACATGATTACATTTGAGGTAACATGCACATCCCGTTACGCCGATCACATGATCGCGCTAGACTAAAGTTATTAATGCGCATGCGCAATTCAGCGCATGCGGCGAACAAATAAACCTCAGTTTAATAATAATAATAATAATAATCTTTTTTGTCTGTCACCCCGTCTCAATCTTTCTTCTACATGTTCAATGATTTGAAATTTTTTTTTTTTTTTTTTTAATTTTTTTTTTGCAGTGCATAAAGACATTTACACTTTGGCTCGAGGTACCCCAACGGCAGTCCTCTAGCAACTTTTCAAACATAACATTTGAGGTTATTGAGTAACGTGCACATTTTTATATAATACTTTGATTAACAGGTAGCTTCGTAGTATATCTAGACGTAATATATGATTTAGATTTCTTCATTGCTTAAACTTAGCTTTTTGACCACCAGGGAGCAGCGAGTCTCTGAGTTAGCAGGTATGCTTAATAATTTTGTTGTTGTACATGTGGGTCTACCGGCTAGGCGCAATTGCACTAGTTCTAGGCATGACAGTATGACATAGTATACTCATGTATAATAAGGGAGCTTGTGTCTCTTGTCTGTTGCGCCTCTGCGCTTATTTAGGGTTATAGTCCCACGTGAGTACCTGCCGGTTACCCTGTGAGGTGTTGCCTTCATCAATGCTGGCATGAGTTGTGGTAGCAGGCTGGTTGTGCGCTCCTTAGAGGCGTCATGTAGGTGTCTTTCGGTTCGTTGCTCCACGGCTGCCGCCATTATTCTCCAGCTTGTGATGGACACGGCGGCCATTTTGGTTTTCACCATGCGGTCTCTGGCTGCTCGGTTCGCCGCTCAGGAGTCGTGGATGGTCACTGCCTCCTCAGTGGGGTCCGGGATAACCCCCCCGGCCCACAGGGGGGGAGAACGGGGCCCTCTTTGAGCGCGTGGGAGGTCCCGCCGGACTAAGCACGGGAGACCGGCCGCATCTCCCGCCAGAGCCTCACGACAGGCCACAATCCCAGCCGCCCAGCAGTTTTCATCGCCGGTAGGACGGAGGCCGGTAAGTGCACCGAGAGTTGTGCACAGGTCCCCTTTGCCTTCTAGTTGCAGCTGGGTGGTTTTTCAGGGGGAAGGAAATATTTTTAGGGCTAGGATTGTGGGTTTCATGGAGGAGCTGAGGTGCCCCACGTCCATCCAGCTCGGCGGTCAGGCCCCGCCCCAATGATTTGAAATTTAAGTTGAGAGATATTATGTTTTGCTTCTGCAAAATGCATTGGAATAGGTAATTCTGAATTTTTTGTTGTAATTGTAGACTTATGTTTTGAGAATCTTAAATTTCAAATCATTGAACATGTAGAAGAAAGATAGAGACGTGGTGACAGACAAAAAAGATTATTATTTAGAGAAGCGTTTTGGATTAGGGAACTAGATTCCCTGACACCTAGGGGACTCAATCAAGAATATGACCTAAATCCGTTTATTTAAATCATATTTTATCTCTTTTTGTTTTTAAATTTTTATTTAATTTTCTTTATCACTATGTTTTACAGATCATCTTTAAAGATTATTGTAATCTGTGAGGTTTATCACTCTATTGAGCACATACTTAATGATTGTCTCTCATAGTTCTTATGTATTTCCATCCAGAGAATGGTCTTTGGATATCATGTACACAATTTTATCACATGACAGGAGGCTTCATATTTTGCATAACTTTCTTTACTTTATGCCTCCAGCAGCACAAGTCAATCAATAAACTTTAAACCAATCAGTAACAGGCATCACATTCATATATAAAGCCCTGACAGTCACATTCAGGGCAGGTCTCTGGGGGTTGGGGATGTCGGGGGGACTCTTTTCCATGCCGGCAGACCGCGATCGTATCCTCGATCGTGGGCCACACAGCACTTTTGCGCGCGAACGGCAGCCATCTTGAATCTCGCGGCACTCGCGAGATTCACGTCGGCCATGTCGTTTGGCCAGTTTGTGATTCCCACGAACTGGCGGCTAGTTCTGTAATGTTTCATATATTTTTCCTGTGAAATAAAAGTTTTACAAGTACTTTTGAGCTCAATACTGTTCATGGGCATGTGGAATAAAGGTTTTATATGTACCTTTCCTGGAAGATTATGAATGGACTGTTCACTGCTGAGCTCTATACTGGCATATTTCATTGGCATGTGAAATAAAAGTTTTATATGTAACTCTGCATGAATATGTAGGACTGATCCCTGCTGTGTGCATCTGCTGACAGTTTGCTCTATTCTGTTCTATACAATTGACATGTTGAATAACAGTTTTATTGTACATCTGGAGGATTATGAATGGACTGTCCCCTGCTGTGGGTATATAGTGGATGCATTACTCTATCTACTGGCAGGAAAAATTAAATAGAGCTGATATCTTACTCCGCTCCCTACTCCCACTGGACCTCACAACCATTGGATACACTCCTTCCCCACAGGGATACACCTCCCAGGACACAGTAGTGGAGGCACATAACGGAGTGATTAACAGGGGTGATCCCCCTTACGCTGGGTGACCCCCAAGCGTGGCAGACACCTCTCCAAAGTGACATTGTGGTACAGGGGTGACCCCCCTTACGCTGGGTGACCCCCAAGCGAATCTGGTTCCTGTCCTAGTGACATACATATACTGGGGTGATCCCCCTACTCTGGGTGAACCCCAAGCGAATATTATTCCGGTACTAGTGACATACATATACTGGGGGGAACCCCCACGCCCTAGGGCGGGCTCATTTCCACGGAGTACGATCTGTTACTGTATGCACAGACCGGGTCACACTGAATACAGTCACCAAAACGCAAAAGAACTTATTGATTTGGATGATGTTGCCACCATCCAGATCTAAAGTTCTTTAAGTGAGTGCAGCGCTATATAAGTGCTGAGTAAGTGTGTTCTCGGAACTCTTACCCTTTTTCGCTTCTCTTAATACAATTCATACATAAAAAAGAGAACAAAAAGAACATATACAAATGATAGTGTAATATGTCTTTAAATAGAGTGATCTATGAAATAAGTGAATATGTGCACTCACATTTGTTAGAGCCTTTTCTAGTATTAGGCTCTAAACTTCTGCACGTCTGTGTCTTTTGGGTAGAACACACGACCCCTCTCTCCTTATGAAGATATTCTCCACCGGGTATATAAAAGATACAAATATTTCACACTAAGTGTAGCATCCCAGAATCGAAATATTGTCCATATGAGTAGAAATAGAGAAATGCTCACCTTTTTTAGAGCCCTTGGTAACCGGCTCTAAGTATATTTGCCCAGTGTCAAATTTTGGGGTGACACTGCCCCTTTAAATCACTTTTATAGGATACAATGGATGGATAAAAAATGGGAGCAATTTATTATCAAGTAATCTTATAAAAATACACTATTATTTCTAGAAAATAAAAAACAATAAAAAATAGTATGATATAAAAGTATGTGACCTTAAAAATATATATATATAGGTTCACTTTAAGAGCCACACTGAATACAGGTATATCGACAGAGCCAGGAAGGAGAGCTCATGGTGCTGCCAATTCTCCACAGTACTATATCCTATAAGGGTGACCCCTTGGATAATTTGGAGGCTACCATACCTCCCCATACACGGGCTACGTCCCGACATTACTGACCGCTCATCCCGGTCTTATTGAGGGTGACCCCCTCCTCAGACCACTCCCAGGAAATCTCTAAGTGGTACTGATTGAAACAATTCTGGGTGACCCCCAGTTGTACGTGGAGGCCCACTAAGTGGCAATAAGTGTACTACCGTACCTGACACCTGTTCGGTACCCCATAGACCGAAAGAGTGTCCCAACATGCCATAAGAGACATTCATACAGGGGTGACCCCCCTATGCTGGGTGAACCCCAAGCGAGTCTTACTCCGGTGCTAGTGGCATAGGTACAAAGGGGTGACCCCCCGCACCCTTTCTAGGGCTTCTACCTTCAGAGTACGCTCTGTCATTGTATGCACAGACCAGGGCGCACTAGATGCATGTATTCTGGCACCTCTATGCTTCAACTGGGGTTCCGTACGCCCTTCCCTTAACCGAGAAGGAGAACTCACAGTGCTGCCAAAACTCCACAATTCTAGACCATATAAGGATGAACCCCGTGGACTATATATATTGAGGCTTTCACGTCTCCCAGACTCGGGCTACGTCCCGACATTGCAGACCGCTCATCCCGGTCTTACTGAGGGTGTCCTCATTCTCAGACCACTCCCCGGATCCTGCGAAAATGATACTGATTGATCAAAATTCTGGGTGACCCCCAGTTATACGCGGAGGCCTACTGAGTGGCAATAAGTGTACTGTTGTACGATCCTGTCTCCCACGGACCGAAAGGGTGTGAACCAACATGTCGGACTTACCTCAATATCCCCGACCGATTTTCAGGCGAGGATTAAGGCTGCCATGACAGCTCCGGGGGAAGAAGTCCTCTCCAGTATGCTGGCTAACAACCCATCCGACAGAGCGGGTGCAACGGCAGCAACACCAATGGAAGATTGAGATACCGACGTTAGGTCGGACACCCATCATCAGGGGACGAGGACTTCATCCTCCCCCCCCTTCTCTGGAGATCATGAAAGAATGGAGGGCAGAAGAGGTAAAAGTGACAAGACACGCCTAGCAAGAAAGGTTTTTTCTTTGGCACACTGGACACTCCTGTTTTGACTCACGCACCATCCGACAACCAGGGTCATCCGAATGGGGTTAACTGGAGCACCGGGCCCACTTCTGGCTTAGGAGGCCTATGGGAAAAGAAATCCGAGACCGGCTCAGGATGGAATGCCCACGCCCTCTATGTCCGAACAAGATAGTCCTCACTATGGAGCTCGTGGTGATATGTATGTCCCGATCAGTGTGTAGGAGGAGGACTCAAAATGAGTTAAATACTGGATATGATCAGCCCGGGAAAAAATTCTATACTTTGCGGACCTGACCCCACACAAGACTCACCTCTAGAAGCTCACGATGTGAGGGAATGGGTGCAAAGGGCAATATGTAAGTTGGGGAACGCAAGGCAGACAGGTGCACAGAACGCCGCAAAGCAGCCCGATTAAAGATGGATTTCAAACTATTGAAGTTAGGGACGAAAGAGCGAGGACCTCAGGCAGACGGACTATCGTTTGGAGAACCATTTATCTCAGCAACGGTTTGGTAGTAAGGAAGAAGATAGGAGACTATCACCCAGTCATCAACCTATGCCAACCCAATGGTTTTGGGGCGTACCGACAACTCAAGAAGGAAGGTATCCATCTCTTAGGGGATCTACAAGGTTGGACTTGAAGGGCACTTACCTATAGGTTAACATGGTGCCTCATGAAGTTTCTGAAGTCGGTCACTGCGCACTGAAAAGTAAAGGGTATCTGCTGTCACATACCTAGACGACTTACCTTTTGCAAATCCAATTCATGACTACGTTTACAAACGAGATTTATGTTTACAGTTTCGGGAATTGTTGGGATTCATAGTGAACAGAGAGGAGTTGGTTCGATCCCAGTTCCGAGTGATTCAGTTCCTCTATTTCAGAATAGATTCCACCTTGGGCGGATTACACCTTCCCACATCATTGATAGCGACGATTCGTAAGGAAATTCGACGGGTACGGCGGAAAGGCACCATAACCCTTTGACTATTTCCCAGGACTGCTTCACTACCAGGCCAGACAGTGGCTGAAAGCTCACTGCCTGAGATACGGACACACCTATGAAATTGGGATCAGAATAGCGAAGACTTCGATAGTACTCATTACTGCGGTAAAGGAGGCAAGCGTGACACCCAGAAGGGTTGTCCTTAATCAGGATCATCCTCTGCTCCTTCCGTTTTAACTTGCCTTCGGGCGGATCCAAAAGGAGAACATCATCCATTGAGAATGCAGGAGCATCTGGAGTTGGTAGATTGGTGTCTTCCAGGGGAGACTGGTATGTCAAGGGACTATCGCAACCAACTAGAGACCTACTATGGGACTCATGGACGCCAGGTATTCCCCCGAAATAACTTATCCGCATGGAACACCTTGAGTTCGCTGGTGTATGGGAAGGGACTGCGATCCCTTTATTACCCCTATCTCCACGATGCTGGATCTTTATCATACCTTTTCACTACAGGCCGATGGGAACGTTCCATTAACGGGCTACGTTCCGCGATTTCGACGATGCATAGCACGATTCACGACACTCCGGTCAATCAAGAGCATTTGATATGCCATTTTCTGTGGGGTATCAAACCGTCCAGAACCATGCGTCAAAGTATCACTGGTGTGGGACTTTGATTTGGTTCTTTTGGAGCTAGTCAGATATCACGGTCCTATCCCTCAGTCAGCCATTAGCCAGAGTCACGTTACTTTTAGGTCTTTTCGTCGGGTATCAGATGTACTGGAGTTCGACGTAGACGGTCTTTTCGGTATCACCGGAAAGAATAATTTCTACAGTGTCTCGTAGAACTATATCTTATCCGTGTCCGTATCGTTCCCTGTTACCGACGGTTTCCCAGCCTTTGTGCAGTTAAAGGGTACTTTGTTACATGGAGATCACGACAACACTTAGAATGTCACATTCAGGACATCTGCTGGTCTTATACCAACCGTACAAGCCAGTTACCATGAACACTCTGTCTAGATGGGTTCATTGGTTGTTATCGCTAGCGAGGGTGGAGACGTGTTTGGGTACTCATTAGGTAAGAGGCGCAGCTGCTTCTCAGGCCTTCACGAGGGGGCCTCTATATTTTCAGCGACGAATTGGACACGGATAGACTACTTCCGTATATTTATTTTCGTCAACCACACACGCATCCTTCACGCTCATACCACAGCTTTAAAAATGCAAAATATGAAGCCTCCTGTCATGTGATAAAATTGTAGATTATGCTAACGTAGTGTACCTATAATCTTAATTTTAATAATGACAGGAGGCGAGTATTTTCCCTCCCTGTTTCCCTCCCTATACTCTGGAAATTTTTTATATTTTGGTTTGTCATTTTCTCAGTGTAAATTATAAGGTTTGGTAATTCAGTATATTTATGGGATGCTTATTTGGTTGATATGTGTTAGATCCGTGTTGATTATTAAGTATACTATGGTTTGTTTAATGTTTCAGTATATTAACTTAATATAAATATAGACACATATAGTACTGGATTTAATGTGGACAACAGTTGGTTTCCATCACCTTTCACGTATTTCTGTTCTTTTCAGCGTAATCATCATAGATGGATTCGACAAGATAAAGCTGGAAGGTTTCAAGTTATGTTCTACACGTTACTCAGGACTGTTATTTGAATTCCCTGACGTTATAATAGACTGTTTTTCGCATCAAAGAAAGAGGAAGTCATGTGACTGTCAGGGCTTTATATATGAATGTGATGCCTGTTACTGATTGGTTTAAAGTTTATTGATTGACTTGTGCTGCTGGAGGCATAAAGTAAAGAAAGTTATGCAAAATACTCGCCTCCTGTCATTATTAAAATTAAGATTATAGGTACACTACGTTAGCATAATCTACAATTATTTGTTTTGATTTTGATAGGAGACTTTAAGATACTTTGTAATTAGTCATTATGAATTTTAAGGTCTGCTCCTTAACTTTTTCATCCACATCTTAGTTTCAATGTAAAAAAATTAAAAGTAAAAAAAATAAAATCAATACTAAAAATGACATAAACATCTTGTTAACAATAAGTTAAATTTTGATAGATCCTTTATTAATGAGGGACAGTACTCCAATAAAATGATAATATATTTACATCTATATTTATTGAGATGGTGAAAACCATTAAATTTAATTAAATCCCATTATAGGTTATGGGTTAATAAGACGTCTTTATCAGATCACTTCGTGTTTTTTATGGTTAACACTTCACATGGTTATTATTGAAACCATTGCACTTATAATTTGATTTTTTTATCACAGCTTTGCATATTGAATTTTTTAATTCTTTTTAATTATTTTTTTAGAGTTGTTTATATATTGCATTTTTTACATTTTATTTATTTTTATTTATTATTTATTTTTTTATTATTTTTTATTTATTAAATTGGTGATTTCTTTCACATTAAGTCTGAAGTGATTAAACTGATTAAAAAGATTAGTGAAAAGATTAAGTATATGTATATATTGTCATTTGTGATGCTACAAGATATGTTACCTATTGTACTGTTGTATCAAGGTAACAAGTTACAGATGTATTATGATCTATAATTACATTTTAGGTAATTTCAGTTTGTACATTTTATCCATTAGTGAGGTGGTCACACTGCAATGGCATTCAAGTCGAATTCTTTCATTGATATAATAAAAAACATAATTGTTAGTTTTTTTCGCTGCTATTTATTTTTCAATTGCATTAAGGTGCGTTTTGCGCATGCGCTATTGTACGCATGCGCATTGGCTTTGTGCCCCCGTCTCCGTGTCAACTTAATCTTGACTGAGGTTTATTTGTTCGGTGCATGCGCTGAATTGCACATGCGCATTAATAACTTCAGTTTAGCACGATCAAATGTAATCATGTGACTTGATTCACACAGCCGATCCGGAAATGTAAGTGTTTTGGCATTTCCAATTGATCTAAATTGTTTAATTTTATTGAAATAAATCTTTTTTAATTGGTATCTAGTTAAATAATTAATAAACTTTTTTTTATTTGATTGGTGGAGTTCCATTGCATGGTGTGACACCCAATATGTGAGACTCTTATTGGAGAGATGATTATGTTCTGACACTGTTTTCATGATTATTGAGTGATTACGTAATTACCTAATTGTAACATTTCACATGTTTTTTCACTTGTTAATTGTTGTATATACCTATATATTGTATACAAGTTATGTGTTTCAGTAGCTTGACAAAGACCCTAAGGGGTCTAAACGTTGTTTTTTGGTGCTTGGGTCCAATAAAATTGCCTATTTGTTGGAATACCTTGGAGTGCCTGGATTCTTTTCTACAATATCGTCTTGAGAGGCTGAGGCTGGCGCCTGCTTGGGTTTTTTGATTCGAAAGAATCAGTCGAAATGTAAGTTTCTTCGCCTGGCTGTGCGGGAGGAGAGTGTCAGTGAGGCGGCGTAGGTAGTGGGGTAGCTCAGACGTAGTGATGGAGTCGGGGATGCCCCTTAGCTTAAGGTTGGTGCGCCTGGTTCGTTCTTCAGCCAGATCCACCCTGGTTGTTAGGGTAGTGTGGGATGACAGTAACTGCTGAACTGTTTCTTTTAGGCCCGTTATCTCTTGCCTCATGTCCAGGATGTCCTCCTTGATATTTGGTCCCTTTGGTACTGGAGCTTATCCAGCCTATTGCACCCAGGATTCCAGGACAAGGGATAGTGTGCATTTCCATTACCTATACATGGATATCTCAAGACGTTATTGTCCGGTGCCAATCCCAGACGGACAAAAATCGGATCCTGGCCGCAGTTCGAGATAAAACCCCAATCACCTTTGAAGCATCACAAATCTCCTTCTACCAAGATCTGACACATAACACCTTACTGTGGAGACGATCAATGGGCCCAGTGACACACCAGCTACGAGAAGCCGGCATCGACTACAGATGGACGACTCCCAGAGCCCTAACCGTCAACAGAGAAGGCACAATACTGAGACTGTCCTCAATAGAAGAAGCGGGACCATTCCTCCAAGCCCTGGGGAGATCCCCACAACCCAAGCAACCAGCAACCTCCTCAGCCTCACAGACCTGGGACCCGGAAAGAGTTCAGCCCTTTGTCCCCAGAGGAAGAGAGGAGAGAGGGGCTCTGACTTGAACCAAATCTGACTCCGACACCCCATCGTGCCTTCGCACTATACTTAAGAACCACACTATCTCATATATTTTCTTGTTAAGTTTAAAGCTGTTTTCACAGGAGTTTTAAGATGTATGCCGCATAAATGCAGACCATGGCTAGACAGGCTAAAACCCACTCCCACACGGCCTCATATACCACAATAAGAGCTCTCAATGGATGGGAGAGACATACACTCTCCAAGACACTGAGGTCCAAGACACACCATCTCACACACAGGTCACAGACACCCACAACACGAACCGACAAGGTCCACGACCTAACACCCCCACTACACTAACCAGACAAGGCTGGTACCTTCCAGGACCACCCACAACCATGACATGAGAACCACCCTGCTGCGAAGCAGGACTCCTGCCCCAGGCCCCTAAGGGGCACCGGGCGACTGGCATAGCCTGGGCAAGCACAGCTTAAGCCTCTTTCCTTGACCTACAATTATCAAAACTATCGGACTTACCTGACTATCTTTGCCTCACTCCAGGCTCAGGGGTAATTAATAACATGCTACACATAGCGAGTCGACTTGCCTACCTATTAACACAACCCACGCCCACAACCAACCTAAACCCTACTCTGAGCTCTCTGGATATCTAAACCACCCAATAGTCTCACCTGCTTCATGCATAGCCCTGGACGAAACAACATCTACATCCAAGCACCTGTTACACACTCGCTCAGCCCCAGAAACACAGACACCCTTGCAGGCGTGGGCCGTGCCCAACTCTCATACATTCCTGAGATTAACCAGAATGTCTTCTCTACTTATTGTTTTATCTATTGGGAAGTAACCAATGACAGAGACATGTACGCCAAGGCTGATTCATTTAAAAATGTGACTGCCATGATAATGTTTATTATGTATTACTCCATTGGCTTATATCAGCTGTCGTGGCAATGTAAGCTCGTTTGTAAATCTCAGCACCACAAAACAAAGACGTTAAAAAAAAAAAAAGTCTCCATACAAGATCAAGAATCCCTGGTGGATCTGATTGATTTTAGCAAACACTGTCTTTAGGAATCCTTATTGATGATCATTTGGGGTGTATATGTTCGCAATAGTGTAATCGGAATCATTAATGTCAGCTACTATGATTAGGTATCTGCCCTTGGGGTCTGTCACCTTCGATATGAGTGAAAATGCTGGCTGGTTACCAATCATGATAGATACTCCCTTTGCTTTAGATTCTGAAGTTGCGTGATATTGATAGGGTAATTGTTTGACCTGAAACCTACACGGGAGGTAGGTCCATTTTTTTTTCAATTCTTTCTTTTTGGTCAAAAATAGCACAACAAAGTGATACTCATTACAGAACACCACTATACACATGGTACAGCAACAAAGAATTAAACAATATATGACATCAAGTGGTGCGACTCATCTGAGTTAAACAGAATAACAGCATGTCTTTAATTCATCTCATGAGCATATGCACCCACCTTGTTATCGATACCTATATGAAACCCAATTTTTTATTTATTTAATTTTTTAATTTTTTTAAGAATAGTCGAAAAAATTAGTAGAAGAGAAATATAGTAAAGAAAAATCCCTCAGCTCTAGCGGAACACGTGTCCATACCCTAGGAAGATTGCATAATCCTGTGCAAGACCCCGATATGACCCCTCTCTGAGTTTTTTTTTCCTTTAAACTCCCTAAGAGAGCCTACTTAGTTTCTAGAACTGTCCTAGGACAGAAAAGCTCGTATAAGGTGTGTAGGAGAGCCGCTTCAGGAAAAAAGATGAAAATAAGGAAAAGATAGAGAGTTGTGGGGGGAAGAGGGGAAAAGAGGGCGAGTGCCGCCTCTGTCGGTCCCTCTACACCACCCTCCATAGGTCTTCACCTAAGTCCTATGTCAGTCTGCAAGGTAACTGTAGAACCAGGGTTCCCATATTTTCTCAAATGTATGTACCGTGTTTCTCACCTGCGCTGTCAGTTTATCCATCAGACAATTGTCCTTAACTTTATATAGGACTTGAGAGATGGAGGGAACGGTGGGCTGCAGCCAAATCTGGGCAACCGCCCGTCTGGTCAACAAGGTTACTTTCTATATCAAAGTTTGTTCTATTCGAGTCCACCCTTCCAATGGCCTATGCAGGAGGCACTCCCATGGGGTTAAGTCCGGTCGTCAGTTAAAAAGATTTTCCAGAACACTGCCTACTGCAGAGTGGCCTAACCTCCCAGATATCCTGCCAGTCAATGCATTCCAATACATCCCCCAAGTCTGCCTCCCATTGGGAAATGTAAGTCAGTTGCCCCCATTCCTTTGTTTCCGTACATAGATAAGCATACAGTAAGGTTATGAGACCTCGCTGGGAGGTTTCATCCAGACACAGCCTCTCATAAAAGGTCAGATTTTTATGCGCTGCCTCTTTAACGCATATCCGCTTCGCAAAGTCCCTTATCTGTAAATAGCGAAAGACGTCAGCTGGGATAAGTGTGGTGCATGTCTGAAGTGTATCAAAGGACACTATCTGAGCCCCTTCATATAAATGACAATATTTTTGGAGGCCTGCCTGTTCTATATTTTGGAAGTCGCGGGCTGACATACCTGGAGGGAACACCTGGTTTCTGAGTAATGGAGTGAGTGAGGACGGGGAAGACGATAAGCCAAATTTAAAAGCTATTGCATCCCAAATTCTGAGAGAGTTAAGTATAGCTGGGCACGTGGAACGTAATATCACTCTATCACGTGCTATCCCGAGGAACCCACATATAATACTGGGGAAGATCTGCTCCTGTCATTAAGGATTTCAAATCAACCCATTTCCTAATATCTGTTGGTACATACCACATTGCTATCTGAGTAAGCTGCGCTGCTACATAATAATAGTAAAGATGCGGCAGTCCCAGTCCTCCCCTCGTTTTAGGGTGGTAGAGGACGTTTCTGGAGACCCTGTGCCTCTTCTTCTGCCATATTAACGAGCCTATAGCACTTTGTAAAGGTGTTAAGTCTGCTTTCGTAATCTTAATCGGGAGGGCCTGAAGCAAGAACTGAATATGCAGCAATATGTTCATCTTCACAGAGTGAACACGGCCGATCCACGATATTGATTTATTCATGTTCGCTTTCAGCCTTCAATCATAAAAGGATCAGCCTGAGATGGAACTGTACATCGCCAAAAGGTCCTGGAGTGCTCCCATAGACCCTACTGGATTGGTAAGTGAAGGTAGGTCCATTTTTAATGAACAGGCGGACATGCAATTGTCCCACCCCACCGCCCCCAGTTCCACCCATGTATCAGGATTACTGTTTGATCCAGCACGTAGAACTGTACAACACGGATGACAAATAAGTAACATATTACCGGTCCTTAGAATGGCCGGATTTAACGTACAAAGAATAGTCAAAAATACTAGCCGAGGTCAGGGAACACAGAAAGGGACACAGCGATGAGGAAAGCCAGGAGTCAGGATACCAGAATATAGAGAAGTCAATAAACAAAGCCAAAGTCAAAAACCAGGTAGAAAACTATAAACAGGAACGCGCTCTCAGACAACCACAAGGGAAACCACGACAGGGCACTGAGCAGGCTGAGAACTGGGCCTAAATACCCCTCCTTTAGTTCTGATAGGCTGTAACCGGCCTTTGACCCCAAAGTCAGTTACCAGGTTTCATTTGCATAATTGCTGCTCAGCATTAACCCTTCTGTGGATTAGGTTGCTGCTCGGCACAACTTTTCCTGTGTGGACAGTAAATGTCATTAATCACTTTTCTCTAAGCGGATGAATACATGACACCAGGTTTCATTTGCACAATTACTGCTCAGCATTAACCCTTCTGTGGATTAGGTTGCTGCTCGGCACAACTTTTCCTGTGTGGACAGTAAATGTCATTAACCACATTTCTATAAGCGGATGAATATGTGACATTACCCCCCACCTGAAGAACGCCCACCGGGCGGACAGGACCAGGCTTGAGAGGAAATTTAGCGTGAAAAGCACGGATCTTACGGCCCGCATGCAGGTCAGGAGCCGA